GGGGGGTTGGGCGGCAGTTGTGTGTGTGCTCACCGGAGTATCACATATCGTTTAGCTGATAGGATAAATCCTCTACAGAGCAATATCTTTGAGGATTGCAATGCGGGGAAGTATTTATTTTTTTAAAGGAAAGATCAGCAGAACTCCCTACCCCTCGGCTTTGGCTCGTCTAACCTTATAACACTAACTTTTTTCTGAACAACAGTACCAAGAAAAGGAGTTGTGAGAGAAGTTTGTGTGTTATGATCACTGATGGGCCCAGATTCTGATCTTACACAAAGAGCCGGCAATCAGAGATCAAAACCAGGGCCGCCCAGAGGATTCAGGGGGTCTGGGGCAAAGCAATTTCGGGGGCCCCTTCCATAAAAAAGTTGCAATATTATAGAATACTATATTCTCCTGGGGGCCCCTGCAGGGCCCGGGGCAAATTGCCCCACTTGCCCCCCGCGGCCCTGATCAGCACTAGGCCCTGTGCCTATCCTTTTCCAGAGATGAAAAGGGCTTGTGATCTTGTGCTGAGCTCTCATGCTTTATCAGGTGCAAATGTTTACATGTCGCCAAAAAAGGTCCAGCTGGGCATTGTTATATTCTTATTTTCGCCTCACAGTTAGGTCTTACTAGCTACTGTCTGTACCTTGGCTGTGTGTAGTGGTAGGGATCGCTCAAAGAGTAACGCTCTCTGAAATATATTTTTAATAGTGATAAAGAGAAACTTGGAAAGAGGGGGAGAGGCGCTCAAGGAGTAGAGAGGAGCAAGAGCAGCAACTTTGAAAATGCACTTTAGTCCTTCTGTACAGTGCAACGCACAGACCTGTAGTGAGGCTCACTAATTAAGACACTCACATTTTCACGCGTTCAGCTAGGGGTTGAGTTATTGCTGCAAGACATCAACCCTCATCCGCAGTCTCTTGCGCTGACAAGTTGTAAAAAGAGGAGCAGAGAATGGCCTAAAGATACATTAGCTGGTAATAACACTTGTTTTTATTCACTAGACTTTAACAAGTACAAGCGCAGACAACAGAACAATGCACCAGAGCCTTGTTACAGCTAATGCTTTCATTACACTCTGATTTTCTTGCATTTCTGATCCTCCACCCCCCAACCTACAGTTAATAGGGGAGGGATGCCAGAAAGAGTGAGACGTTTCTGACCCAGCCCTAAGAAAGTGTCACAAAGTATATAACTTTTTTTTTAATTGCAGCCCCCATATTTTTGTAATGATGCGCCCAAGTCAATTGGAAAACCTAGGAAGCCTTGATATCCTATATTTTGATGTAGCAATATAGTAATTTATGTCCACCAACATACTGTGACGAAGATACAATGAAGCGAGGCGCCTTGCCTCTGTATCCCTGAAAAAGGAATTAGGCAACTGAACGCAATTTGTCCTATTAGCACAATCCTTTGCGTGAGATTTCGACCGATTTGCGGATCTTTTTAGAAACAGAGCGGCTGGTCCTATTTTAGGGTCAGGTCTTGCATCCCTTATTCAGGCAAACTCCCTGAAGAAGTAGGCTCCACCGGGAATGGCGTTCTAGTGGGGACTACAGAATCGGGCCCGCACTGCAGAAGGAGTTCCCTTGTCACTGCTCCTTGGTTTGCAAAGGACAGAGGCTGGGATGAGGGTTTGGAGTAGTTTTCTTTTTTCTAAACTCGGTTTGTTTTTTATTTCTGCTACTCGTGAACACCCAATACTTGAAGCAAATGGAAGTCCTGGCTGAGCACAGACTGCACAGGCAGCTTCATAAGTGTGATGAATTAACAGCTGCAATTACCGTTGGCCTTTTTAATTAACGAGGATTTTTATTTATTTATTTACAATTTATATCTAAAACGCTAATAGAACAAAACCATGCAGCTATATATACACACACATTCTTACAGGGAAAAGTGTGTTTATATATTTGTGTACATAAAATGTACTACATGTCAAACCAGTGTACAAAACTTCATTGTATAATTGGCACCTGGATATTATCTAGCTATCTTAAATAGCTCTACCAAATGAGTGATTCAGTAATACAGTTTAGGGAGCAGTAGATTAGCAGGAGGACGATGTAGTAAATTACAATCACAGGTAATGCAGTCTCAAATTAACAACAGTTTGAACCCTTACAAAATTTAGAAGCCTGGGGCTACTTCTGAAATACAGATGTGGTTCTTCCTAAAAATAAAAAGTAAATGATGGGAACACTTCGGTTTCTCGTGTTCCTCAATTTTACAATAATTACACTGCACAAGGGCATCCATCGTAGGACCAGCGTCCCAAAACTATACAGGCTAAAAACTGATTATAAAGATTTTACTGTTGAATGTTCCACTGTTCAAGTTGCTGAAGAAAAATTAAGATTGGGGGGCGAAGGGGGGAGGAAACAAACCTTCGCAGCTTGTGCAAAATAGTCCAGTTCGTCTTTATAGGTATGTTAACCAATATTCAAACGCAGCGTTTATACTTATATGTATATAAAAACATACCAGAATTACAGATCCCCTACCTCCCCAGTAAATTGTCCTTTGTGATACAAAAGCTCCTTGTTTTCGTGCCTTTAATTATAGGTGCCACCAACGAGCTGCAAAACGTTTAGTGATGTTGGGCAGAGCTCTTTAAAAGGGAAAAGTCGGCAGTTTAGTTCGTCAGAAAAAAAGATCGATCCTGGACTCCCTTCTCAGGCAAAACTCTCATCGATCTCCCTTCAGGACCGATCTCTTAGCTAGCAAGAGCCGTTGGAATTGAAGAATTTTACATGTGATGATTGCCCTATCCATGAAATACTCATGTCGTTTTCACCGGCGCAAGGCAATCTCTGTGCACACGAGACACACATTCTGAAATGACACGTGTGAAAGTTACAGCTTCTCTAATGAGTAGGAAATCTCTTGGGATGCTCGCCTGTTTTTACAATGCAAAACCAGGGGCTCTCGTCTAATTTGTATTTCATCTTACTGGTGTGTGTGTGTGTTTTGTCTGTAATTGTGTGTGTACAGAGGGACACATGAAAATGAGAGTATAGGTACACACAACTCCATTCATGTGCTAATTACACACGATAAAAATTAACCGGCCTGACATACACTAACAATTTTTAAACAATGCTTAGCCATTGGTGCATAGGCCGTACATAGTTTGTAGAGACTAACTCACAGAGACTTGGAGTTTTAAATTTTAAAAATCCCAGCTAGGAACAGTCATACCTGTTTAACAGCATTACTCCCCTTACAAGGAAAAAATATGAAAAATAACGGGGGAAAAAAAGCATCCTCAGGGATAACTCGGGGAAGGGTTTGAGGCTCTGAAGGCAGTGAAATAAAGAGACAGACAAGATCACCAATATCTAGAAGCACACTCAGAAAGGGACAAAAATACTTGCCGGACACTTTTTTTCTTTAACATATGCTATTCCATCTTACGCGCTACTATATTTTAAAAAAGCCATTTCAAACTATACGGGTATTAAGTGTCCGCTCCTTATTTCTGCCTGTCCCAGAGAAGCCTCGAGCAAACATTTCTACCACTTTGGGATTGTTTTAAATAGCCCAACGATGTTCCCTGTTTCTCACGTCTCAGAATGAAACGGGGGTACTTTGCAAATACAACAGTGTCCTGGCCTTTTAAACCGCAAAGAAAATAGACCCTCTCGCTTTCAGAGTCTGGAGATGAAGCGCGCGCTATGCACCTGTATGGAGCAATGCAAGCCGATGGGATATGTGTGTGTGTGTGTATATACATAGCTATTGTGCTTAGACTCCGTCCTGCAGGGTCAGCCTTAAAGGAAGCATCTGTTTCCAATTAGCAGTCTCCGCGCTCCTGCTTGAGACGCACACGGTTCCCGGGCGAGGAGGGGCCCTTTGAGCACCCGCTCCGTTCAAAGCAGCCCGGCCCCAAGTTTGCTCTGTATCACACTGAAACCACCGCCTCACGCAGCACCAGCTTTTTCCATTACACCTCTGGCAACTGCCTGCCTTTCACACAGGCACACAAAGAGCCTTCTCTCTCCTGCAGCCCAGTTACTCACAAACTGTGAAAAGCTCGATCAAGCCACCACACATACCCATACATCATGAAATGGCTCTTGAATACATTCAGGAACGTTTCTGGGGGCTAATACACACACGATCGTGTTCAAACATTGGTGCTGAAATCGCCCTGTGCCCCCACCTTTCCTTTTATAGGCTGAGGCTTCCCCCCTCTTCTAATCCTTATATGACAGTATTGACTTTATACAGATTTTTAAACACACACACACACACACACGACAGCGAGAGAGGATCTAATTTTTATGTTTCTAAATTATGCCGCCTAAGACCGAAGCCTGGCTAATTTTCCAGACATAAAGTTAAGAGAAGAGTTAATTGCTGGGTGATAGATCGTCAACCAAAGGGAAATGTATGGGCTCCGCGACCTCTGGATAACCTGGGTACCTTGGCACGAAATCTTTCAACAATATTTACTTACCTTGAAGTTGCTATTTTATTTATTTACTTGGTTTTCATTTCTTAAGGCATCTTTCGAGATGGTTGCAGCTCCCGGGTGAGCTCTAATTATAGTCAGCAGAAATGTGAATGGCTCAATTCTGCAGGAATTAGATCTTAAAGGTGCTGGATAGAGAAGCTTATTGTATTTCTTCTGTCTCTCACGCATACACGAACTGGCGATTTCAAAAAAAGCTTTACAATCCCCCCTGACTAATTTGAAATATATTTGAGCAATTAGGAATTAATTCGTCATGGACCAAAGGCAATTTCACTATAAGTTATATCAGTTACCCAAACTTTAAAGAGTTCAAGCAGTGGAAATGGTACATTGAGGTGGAGGTAAGCAGCAGGAAATGAAAACAAGGAGTGTACAGTAAAGGAAGACTAGCGGAAAAGAGCCGGAGGAATGTTAGTGGCAAAGGTTTGGTTTGTTTGTTTTGATTTTCTTTCATTTTTAGTTGGAGAAAGCACTAAAATGCACTTCAGGTCCTTTGTAGAAAGATGATTTTTAATATCAAAAGGAAATTAACTGGACAGCCCACCGGTCAGATCCCAGCCAATATATTTCAGGTACATGATGAGGGGAAACAACCCTGGAAATAAACCTCAAATTTAAGAAAGTTAAACAGAAGCAGTAGCAATGGTGTTTGAGATCTTCTCTTACTTGCAAATTAAAGGTCTGGAAATTAAATGCATCTTTTACACAAGTACATAAAATAAAATTAATTAAAAGCCCCCCCTCCAACATTTTACACCGATCATGATTCTCCTCCAATCAATTATGTCCAGCTAAGACGCAGACGGCAGCCTCCACCAACCGTCGGGAGTGATTTTTCTAGGGAAGATGAAAAGCCCATTTGAAGGCAAAGAACAGGCTCAGGCATTGGGGTTATTCTTCATGAGTTGCACATCAGCTTCCACCATCTCTTTCACCAACTCCTGCGAGAAGGAACAGCATGTGGTGGTTATTCTTGTCTTTTGGAAGACTCAAACGCCTTGTTTTTTTTTTTTTAAGTTTAATTGCCAGTCCATTGTGCGATACTCAACGCACTAAAACAAAACAAACCCCACCCTCCGACCCCTCATTTTATGTATCATTTCAATTATTATTTTACTTGTAGGGAAAAGTTAACTTCGATGTTAAGGGCAGCAAACAGAAGTCCAGGAAAGCAAATTCCAGGGGGCTGTCAAATCCAGAGACAACTGTGCAGTAATTTTAAAAATACCACAATTTATGAGAAAAATACCCCCCTGAAGGATCCAATATTAAAATAGCAGTGACATGAAATGTAAATGCCTTATTAATAGAAACCTTGGTTTGTTTTCTTTGTGTATTTCCATGCTTTAAGTGAGTGCTGTGCTTCTTTTCTCCAGTTTTATTCTGCCATGGCTTGGCTTTTAAGGCTGGGACTCTAATTAAAGCTAACTAACTATTTTCCAAAATGTTCAGCACCACAATATTCAGTCGAAAGAATAGTAAAGCATTCAATCCTTCAATAGGAGCAGCTCGATTTTTAAATAGCCTTCATGTAATCATTATTGAAACTGTAATTTCTCTTTTTGTTCACCAGTTAAGAGCTTCCCTCGTTCCACAAGGCTACACAAACAGGGCAGGAATAAAACACTCCAGTAAGAGAACTTACATCAAAAGTGACTCTGGGTTTCCAATTCAGTTTTTGTTCTGCTTTGGTACGATCTCCTTGAAGAAAATCCTGGGGAAAAAAAAACACAACAACATTGCAGGACCTCTTTGTGTGTTCCTTGTTTCAGCGTGTAACGTTTGCCACTGCACTGCTTGCTCCCTATCTAAAGCATCTTGGGGCCCCCAGCAGCTATAATTTGTCTTTAAAAGAATGAAGCTAGACCAAAAACCTTCAGGCTAACGAAACCATCGGCCTGACTCCCTTAACAGGTTGCAGTTGAGGTGGAAAGGTAAGGCAAGGGCCACACAAAACTGCTGACAGCTATTGTCTAGCACCACTTTTATAAGAGACTCCTCTGTCCACACGCATTTCCCTATAAGTCCTGGGCTAGATCAGCGTCTTTACAGGACACACTTAGAAACTCTGACAAAAATCATTTATTTTTCATTGTGCAATTTCAGTTGAAGCTCAGATGCTTATAAATCACCAGGCTGCACATTTAAGAAACCTTGCACAGGCTATTTAAAACGTAAGGAGTAATTCTTCTTTACATCAAACCTTATTGACTCTTTAATGGTGAACCCTTTACATTAAGTTGTCATATGTCCTGATCATGCTACTAAGAGAGCTGTTTCAAATTATTGCATTTTTTCCCTTTTGGTTAAACAGAAGTAAATCACAAAGTAAACATGACAACTGAAATGTTCTCTCTAAAATAAAAAACATGTGATCATGGAAAGACAGTGCTGGATACCCCCGTTACTGCATTGTTATAGGGCAGTGATAGCATGTCCAGCAGAGAACGTGGAGAGTGAAAGCTTTTGGCTCACTTTTTTACAAGTAGTCACTTGAACATCCACGTGGAAACAAAAGTAACTGGATATATAACAACTAGCTACAGAGAAACTCCCCTGAAATAGTATTACAGAAACCCAGACACTGTTAATCAACCACATCTTTATGATTCAAGCCTATTTAAAGTGCCACAAACACACACATGCTGCATCTCTAATGAAACTGAAATATATTTTATTATTCATTGTTTCTAGATTAAACATGAGTTATACAAATACCCCCTTTGCTTGAATTTATATACAAAGCTCACCTAAAACACAATTAAAAGCTTTCTGTATGTGAAAGGATAGCTGTATAATTCCACAGCAAATTGTCTTTCCCCTTGAAGGGAAAAAATGTTTGCGATAAATTCTGCCTTCATATTTGACTTTTTTTTCAGTGATGTAAGGGCAGCAGGATTTGGGGTCTCTAAAATGGGAAAAATGTGGGTTTTTTCCCCCCTCCTTCCTCCATCCTTTCTGACCAGTGGTGGAGCTAATGAGCATTTTGTGGCATTAGCTCTCCAAAAGAAGTACTGCTGCACACACAATGTTCCAGATACCATCTTCTTGCGTGCCTGTGATCATGTTAACTTCCCAAAATTGCCTCGCCCTGTGCCAAACGTAGGAAATTCTTCTTCATAAGTGTACTACATAAAACTAGAGTTCCCTTCCAGGAGCAGAGGAAAATCACCTCAGGTACTGTACTGCAGATGGGGATGTGGAACAAACAGGTCTGCTGAGAATGTTCCAGGCAGCATTTTTAATAATTCAGTCTGTATGCTAAAAATAATGTTGGCTTCCTCCAGAAAAGACTAAACAGCCAGATCAAAACAAAATAAAATGACAAGCAAAATCGTTTTGTTTTCCTAAGTTATTCTAAACATTTCCTATTGCAATTCTATCATGGCGTTTGGAAATTGCAGTAGACATTTGGGGCCAAATTCAGTAAAACGCTTCCCAATTTGAGTAATCCCCATTGGAGTAATCAGATTATTCCTCTGAGTAAGGAATACCCAGGTGAGCATAGCATTGCAAAATCTGGCCCTGAAATGGGAAAGACTCCCATTGACTTTGATGGGTTTTGGATCAGGTTCTAAATCCAAATGGAAGTATTTAATGCATGCCCTCTCTCTCGTTTTAGTTTAACATGCATTATATACGTCTAGAAGTAAGAAAAACCCTCTTAAAATACAAATTTCTGTACAAAAACAGTACCCTTTCAATCAATACTAATGCAAGCTGTTTTAAACATTTAAACCATTAGCTAGTAACTTAGTATTTTTAATATAATCTAATTTTAAGTCATAATAAAAAGGTATATAATAAAACCATTTTCATTTTTATAAACATTGTATAAAGTAATAATTTTACATCCACAATCTTTATTTCAAAAACAGATTCTTTCAAAACCCTGCCAAATCTAGGGTATTGATTTTTTTCTTAATTCATTGTGGAAAAAGGTCAAGAGACAAGGGATGTCATTGTCTCATTGCACAGCAAATAAGTTTACAGGAAAACTATATATATGTTGCTTTAAAAGGTTTGGGAGCAGTCTTTAAACTTTCTAACACAAATGTTCTCCTTTAAAACCATTCATCCCCAAAATGTTTTTTTCAATTCAAACCCTCCATTCAAAAACATAAGTGCTCAATTGTTGATAAGCAAAAAATAAGATTTGTTTTTCAAATCAATAAAAGTTCTAAAGTTGCAGTGATTACAGCTGTATGGTGTATATAAGATAACACAGAAGCTCAACTTAAGAATGTAAAAAACAAAAGAGAACCCTTTAAAAAGTTCACATATTTTAACAATAAAATAGTAAAAGTACTATGGTGCTTAGTTTGTAAAAAGATTTACTATATATGATAATACAATTTTCCCCATCTGACCCAGGTTAAAACATTTTAAATGACTTTCCTAAAGAAGTTTATATACTTTCTTGAAACCCTGTTTCTTCAATAAGATTTAATTACAAATAGCATTATATAACCAGAATTTCTTCCTATGGATGTTTTAAGCTGTTCAACTATAAAAATTAGTAGATAGAAGATAACATGGACATGAAAAACAATATTATAGTTTAAACCAATCACCACAACATTACACCTAAATTCGAGGATTGAATGTATTGTTAGTGAAAGCTTGAAACACAGAATGGAAATGTTCTTAACGATGACTGGAAAAAGCTATTACTGATTAAAGGATTGTATTGCAGTCATGTTTCCTGTATTTTTCTACAAGTAGCTCATAATATGAAAACAATAAAGTAATTACAATTAAATAAGAATATTTGAAAAAATGCTTGGAACTGAATCACTGCTTGTTTATGTAATTAAAGTCTTTCATTGAAACTAGAGCTGCACCTATTTAACTTTCAAATTCAGTCTTGTAAAGCCCTACTTTATCACTCCAGGGGCTTGCAGCTTTTCAGTCCCAGGGCTTTACTTTTTGGAGGCACAACCAGATCAAAAAAGTTTATGAAGGAAGAGGATGAGGTGAGTCCCACGAGGAAAAATGGATCTTTGTGGTTCTTGAAAGACAGCTGCTGCTGAATACAGACCAGCCAATATTCCTGTTTCTGATAGCGTAGTAGGTAAAGTATAGTCACATAGTAAAAAGAACAGGAGTACTTATGGCACCTTAGAGTACTCCTGTTCTTTTTGCGGATACAGACTAACACGGCTGCTACTCTGAAACCAGTCACATAGTAGTAGGTATTTCTGCAGGATTTTTTTTATCATTGTGTTTTACGCATACAATGTATAAAAAGAAAGTTCCTTGACTTCATGTAGAATTCAAGGGAATAGAAAGGCAAGTAAGAGGGTTTTTTTGTTTTGTTTTTACAAAAGCTGAAAATGATGTTAATTGTTTTGTGTTATTTTACAGTACTTGGACTTTGCAAATAAAATAACAGTGAAGTGTTTAAGTATCCATTTTAGGAGGAAGTGCCATCAGACTCTTATTTTCCATGAAAAAGAAAATGAAGCATATAAATGGCAAGTTTTACATGTGAGTTACAACTTGTTCTTGAATATGGAAAGCTGAGCATTCAGTGAAGTAGCTAAGGGGTAAAAAGGCAACAGCCAAATTGTCTGTTGCCATTTAACACTATTGTAAAAATCTCTGACAGATTTAACTTCACTTAGCTGTGATATGATCTTCTCTCTAGGCCAGGGAAAAGAATGAGTCTATCTGATATGATCTTTTCTATTTGTCTAGCCCTCTCCCCCTCTGTTTATAATTATAGCTTAAAGCTTAAATGTGCAAAAAAAACCCAAAACCAACAATCACCACATCCCCACAAAAAACACCTCTAAATTTTATTAAATCTGATTTTATGAAGATTCGGTTTTATAGTCCAAACCAAGCTAAAAACAAACAAACAAAAAGGTGCACACATGAGTACAGAGAAACATGTTGTGTAGTGTGGGCTGGCATTTTTTAAAAAAAGAGTTCTAAAACCAGGATAAAAAAAAACGTAAAATATTTCTGTGTAAATATCACATTTCATGAGCTCTGGTTCTGAGTGTCATCACTACTTTTATTTTGACTCATTAGGTGAATGATCGGGTTTCACTGTGCAATTTATTACTGTCTAATTCAATTCAATTTAACTGAAAATTTGAAAAGCCGCAAGACAACATGAGGGGAAAAAAAGCGTACAGATTGCTTAAAAGTACTGTAAGTTTTCTTCTAATACTATTGTTGATCTAATCACATTTAGATTAATTCATTTAAGTCAACATTTAGGGTCAGATTCTGCCCCCAGTTACACCAGTGTAAATCCAGAACAAATCTAATGAGGTTATGGGTGCTATAAAACACCTAGGATGAAATGCTGACCCCACGGAAGTCAATGGCAAAACTCCCATTGACTTCAATGAGGATAGGATTTCATCCCTAAAATAGACAGAGTTGACCTGAATTGTAATAGTTCTGCCGTCGGAAAGTTGTGGTGGTCACATTCACAAGATGATGCATAAGGTTTTTCTGGAAGGTGACTTCTTATGTCACAGATCTTTTATAAACTGATAAAGGGGTTAGACGAAGCTCTGAGAAGTCACTAAACTAAGTGCCTGTTCCTGCAATTCTTTGCCTGAGAAAGGTTGTCAGAATTGGGCTTCTAGGTCACAAAGTTTTCAAGAATGTAGTAATTTGAATACAAGGTTTCCTTTAACCCCATTTTTCTCCTCTATCTGATGCATTTCCTTATTAAGACAGCCCTCTCATCTT